CCGGGGCCATGCAGGCCTTCCTCAAAGGCCCGTCTTCCATCAGCGCCAAGCCCTCCGCTGCCAAGGAGAAGGGCGCGGCCGGGAGCAGCGGGGAGGGCAAGAGGCTCAAACCCATCCCCTGGGTGGAGAAATAGTAAGGGCTGTTCTGGGGCAGCGGGGTCGCTGGCTGGGGTGGCAGCGGCCTGTCGGGGTGTGTGGGTGTGTGTGTGGAAGAGGGAGTGGGTGCATAGCGAGGGGGCTCCACCCGGGAGAACAGCTTTAGCTCTTGCAGTTACGGGGGAAAGTCAGCGCTGTGAACCGCTACAAGAGCCCGTTGTTGGTACTGAGCAGCAGATGCCTCCCTTGCCCGTGTCAAGCGGTGCGGTTTTGTCACTGTGGCTCGGTGCAGAAGTGCGTTAAATGCTTCGTTTTTGAGAAGCTTTAATCAGCTCACAAAGTGGTAAAGTCTTGCAGTCTGCAATACAGTTCTGCTTCTAAAAACAGCTCAGGCTGGTGTTTACAACAGAACTAGACAGGCGGCTTCCTGAGAAATTAGATCACTTCAGTAATACAGACCAGAGGCATCAGACAGATTTACTGTTACGATTTTGGCCTCTACAAAATTAGCTGTAATTCTTCAGTACCCAATGTAATCAGAAAGGAAAGTGTTGTTTTTCTCAGTTCAATTCTCTTCTGAAACTCTGCTAGCTAATAAATTGCATTTAATGTCTTTCTGTTTAGTCGCCCCAAAAATGTGGATGAAGTCGCCTTCCAGGATGAAGTTGTCACTGTGCTGAAAAAGTCCTTGGAAGGTGCTGATGTGAGTGTAATAGTGACATCTACCCCATCACTATGTTTAGGCAGAAACTTTAGCCAGTGGTAATGAAAACTTCTCTTTTCTAATTCAGCAATGATCATTTTTACAGTGGTACTTTACAAACAAGCCAAGTGGCTTCCTTGTAGTGTGCTGTGGTACATGTGTAAAATCTGTGATGTTTCCAGCCCTCTAAACATTGTAAAATGGTCAGTTCTGTGATGCAGTTTGGAATTTTTCTGGAAAAGCGTAATTGGTAAATTTCTTGTTAATAGCTTCAAATCTGGAAAGGCTTTTGTTGTGCCCACACTACTGTTCAGCTAGTATGGGGGAAGTTTAAGTTATAAGTGCCAGGTCTAGCACTTGGTGATCCCCAAACTTTTTGGGTTAAAGTTTCCAAGTTAAGTCTCTTTGGCTTTGAGAAGCTGAGTATGACAATCTCACTAACTTCACTGCAGTGTTGGCATCTGTGACCTAAGAATCTAAAGGGGATGAGCAGAGCATTTTCAATTGCTTTTGTTTACATGTGCGTTTGCTTTTGGATAAAAAATTAGTAAGTATTGAGTATGAATGATGGTTATTTCCTCCAAACCAGGTGATGGGGAGGTGGATTGACTGAAGGGAGAAATAAAATAGGTAGCCAAGAGATGGCTGTGCTTTCTTGCAGATCTGGACAGTTCCTTCCTTTGTACTTGCTAGCTCCACATTTCACGTGGAAGGGTCATTCTTGTGCTCCAAAAGCTGTTTCTGTTTTCATGGACTGCTAATGCCAGCTGAAGTGGTTGGTGGTGGTTCTGAAAATGACCTGTGTGATATGACTCTCTGCTCACCAGGAGCTAAAAGGAACTATTTGGACTTTTCAGAGTTTTATGCAAGAAGCCTTTCACTTATGTGCTCTGATGCACAATATGCACAGGTGGTCTTTGGTGTTTGAAAAATTTATCTTATGACAGTTTCCTCTGCAGTTCTGGTTTTGACTAATGTGCGTCATTTTCTACCTGAAAATATTAATTTAATCAGAACTTGCAAAAGCACAAGTACTTTATTTGTTCGAGCATAGGGAGCCAAAATGAAGCTGGTATGACAGAACTGGGACAGACTTGTAGAATTCCTTTCTTTAGTTCGTGTCTCCAGATTCATTTTACTTTGAGAATGCTGTTGTAACGTGATCTTGTCGTGTAATGTTGTGCCCATAGAAATCTGAGTTTCAATAGCGGTGCTGCTATATTATAGTATTTGTACAGTTGAAGTAATTAGTAAGGAACTATTAACAGCTAAGGAAAAGTGAGGTGCTGCCACCTATTCTGTCTGGATGTATCAGTCATGTAACATCGCTTAGGTGATGGGTTATGAAGTTCTATTTTGAGCAACAGCTATGTAAAACCTTGCAGCTTCTAGACCAGCAATGTTTCTCAGATTATGAGCCTAGTACACTTGTGTTGACTTTTTACTTCCTGAGTTGAAAAGACAAATTACAACTTTTGCTTATGGTTACAGGCTTTGTATTTTGCCATAGCTACCCAAACTCAGCAAGGCATCTAAGAACAAAGTTATGCAAGTACTTCAAAATATTTGACACTGTTAAAATCCGGACATTTTCGTTGGTTCTTGAAAGGACTCATTCTGTCAAAAAGGCAAAAGTGTAATTTAAATTCTGAGGTGGCTGGTACTTATTTCAGAAGTTCTTATTGAGTTTGGAGATCTGGGGAGATGAAAGAAACAGCTGTGACAACACTGTAGGTTTGTGTCATGTGCTTTATTTAAACCTTAGTGTTGAAAATGGAGAGCCAGTCCTTTGTTGATTGGTCTGTAAGTATTTGTGGGCCTCGGTTTGGGAGCTGCGAAGTCCCTGGGGTATCTCTATCTGTAATAGCAAGCATCTGTTGTATTAGAAACTGGGGAGACCAGAGTCCAAGTGTTAGAACTGGAGAAATTTATTTCTGTCTGCCAGGACTGTTGATTCGTTGTTGCTTTTTGCAAAGAAACTGACAAGTGTCGTAGTATTCTGTAATTTACATTTACTTGATGATATCTTAATGACTGAAAAGAGAGTTAGGTGTAGGATTATCATTGCAATTTACATCCTCATTTGTGCTGAAACTTCCAGAAAAGGACTTGGGGTTTGCACTATGTGTGGTAACTTTCCTATAAGCAGCATGATGCCTGTAGGTATCCTGCTTACCCCTGGCAAGCGTGGAAAAACAGATAACCAGATCAGGTTGCAGTCTGTTTAAAAATACTGCCACAGTTACATAAAGGATTAGGCTGTGCTTGGTGAAAAAGTAGTGTAAATATTGGTGATAACTTCAGTGTGAAGCCAGCATAAATGAGGTTGAAACAGGAACAGCAGTAAAATATGCGTTTAATGGAATTAGGAAACAGGTTCTTATTAAAACTTTTTACCTGCTAATGCTTGTTTTGAGAACTAGTAGAGTGTGAATTAGCACAGAGGCATGAAATTATGAATCTCCATGAAAATGTCTACCCTTGCAGTGTGCTAACCTAACATGGTTGTTGGTGAATTTTCAGCTGTAATTCAGTAAAGATTTCTTCTCCCTGGAGCTTTCCTAAAAGATACAGGGGCATAATAATGTTGTGGTATCTAATTAAACTTGAAAAAAAGTTTGTTAGTACTGAATGGTGTTTACGTTTTAATAAGTAGGGAAACAAGCAAGGAATGATTGGCAGAAAGAGCAAGTAAAACTTGAAATGGGTTTCTTTACTGTTATATTGTTAGAAGACTGAAATTCTTCTATCTATACTTTTACAGTACATACACAGTTGAATCTATTGTCTTAGTTGTTAAAATGGGATGCTTGTAACCAAACTGGTCTATTTAATTTTCTGATTATGGATTGTTGTACTCTTGCATTTTTCTCTGCTCTTTGGATGTCTTTGGTTTTGCTGTTCCCATTCTGTCTGCATTGCTTGCTATATTCAGCAAAACCCCCTCTAATTTTAGTTGACTCTTTTTAAAAATGGAACATTTATTAAGGGCTCGAAATCAAGTCAGACTGAGAGGTTTGTCTTTTTGCTATTGATTGGAGGGGACTCTTGGATTCTTGTTCTAAGAATGTACAACTGGAACATCCCCTACTGTCAAAACCAGCAGTTTTAAAGTGCAGCCTGGTAATTTGTAAGAGGGATTATTTGAAATAGTAGTACAGAAAGCCATCAATCCTATGCTAATTAGAAAACCTCTTGATTTCAGCCAAAATTTAGTCATGGCTATCTTATACAAATTTGGTTTATGCCAACTTTGTTTTTTGTCCCTGTGTTGCTCTGATATATTTATGGAGATCAGTCATATTCCCTCTCAGCTTTTGCTTTGCTGAGCTAACTAAATCAAACTCTTTAAAAAAGTTACTTCTCATAAGACAGACTTTTCACTGCGCTAATCACCTTTCCCAGTTTGTATTCATCATCCTTGATTAAGGGTGACCTGAACTGTGTGTAGCTTTCCAGATGAAGTCTTATTAGCATGTTATTATTAGTAATTTTCCATCTGTATTGAAACTGCACATCCTAGGACCACCGTGTTACACAGGCTTATACAGTTCCTCTGACTGACAGACGAAACAAAGCCAGCTTCTATTTTATTCCAGACATCTAGCAGATATTTAGTTATATTCTCATATTGTGAGATTTTATGCTCTGTGCTGCTAGATGTCATGCTTTATTATTACTGTGGTCTTTGCTGTGCTGCTTTGATCTTCCTGTGTGAGCATATTTCTTTAATGCATTCCTATTTTTCATGCTGAGGTTTTTAGTTAAATTATTTGAAAGATCAGTTAACCTAATTTCTTTAAGAAATGCCACTGGTCTCCTCTGCTGAAAAATCCTGGATGGATGTAGAAATTGGCCAGCGCTATGCATTCCAGTCAGTCATTGCAAGCATCTCTGCAATTAGTGTTAAGGTATGTCTGCATTGCACTCATTGCAATATAGTGCAGGCATTCACAAGCTACCTTGTACTTACTGCAGTGGAGTTAATGGCAGCACAGAATTCTCAGCATGGCTTGAGAAGGCAGTTTGGGGAGCTGAGAAAGTACAGGAGAGTTAACCTGTGCCAGATTTTGTCATAGCTTCACTGCTAGTAGTATCCGGATTGTGTGAAGGGCATCCTTGGATAAATTTGCCTGTCGCTGCAGTCATAACAGTAAGTTCTGTACGCTTTAGTGATCTTAGACATGACCTGGAGACAATACATAAAAATAAAATATAAATTGAAGTATCAGTTTTGATAGAACATGTGGTGGTGCTGCCAAATAATGGCTTGTTCCTGCTGTGTTGTGAACAGCAACAGTTTGTCCTCCTTTAGAGCACTATGTGCAATGATCTAGAAGTGAAAGACTTTCTCTTATTTACCAGGAGGAGTAGATAGTTTCTGTTCTATTAGGTGCTCAGGTTTTCAGCAGGTTTTCCTGTTTGTGGTTTGTTTTGTTTATCTGTTTTTTTTTAAAAACAGTGCCTTGCTGTTTCAGCTTCCCAATCTGTTGTTCTATGGCCCACCTGGAACTGGAAAGACTTCCACTATTTTAGCAGCTGCTAGAGAGCTCTATGGGTAAGCTGGAATCAAGTTGCTTTGGTTGATTTGGTGTAATCAGTTATCATGTGTTCTAATCATATGAGAGAGTGCCTCTGGTCATTGCCTGTTCTTACGTAGCTTCTAGGTCTTTTTCAGGAATGTCTTCACATTCTAATTCAGCTCTAACGTGAGATTTCTTTCTCATTTGTCCTGTCACAAGTTGTTGATTTCTGCTACCAAGCTAGACTTACAACATGTGAGAGTAGCAGCCATGTAATCCTATAGCAAAAAGTATGAAAAATGGCTTGTATATGCCTTGCTGAACTTTGTAAAGGAATTCCAATTTTAATGGTATGTTCATCAGGTTGTTAGCTACACATAGATCTCAGAGCACTTCATAAAATGTCTGAATTGTAATCTTTCCATTATGCACCACTGAATTGTGTCTGGAAGTAATATTGGGAGTGAGGCTAAAATTCAGCGTGTGTACGTTCATCAACTCACTTGTAACACTTGGGAGTTTTTGAGTAGTGAATTTAGTGACCCATAAGAAAAAAATGGATGAGAAGGAGGCTTGATGTTATGAGCAAATCTAATTTTACTTTAGTCCCTTCCCCTGCCCCCCATCATTATCTTTAATTTTTGGCTCATGTTGTTTTTTGGAAAGATCCACTTGTAGTTTGATAGGAGGAAGACAACTCCATGTTGTATGTCCATTTGAATTCTCAGAACTTAAAATCCACTGTTGTTTTTTTTTTAATCAGAGGTGCTGCTGTATAGTGCTGGTGTTACATACGGCCTGTATTATAATTTCTAGATACTTCTTTCTGGTAGTACTGCAATGGCAGAGCACTGCTGGTGTCTGTATCTGGGAACTTTTCTTGTTTTTCCATGTTGCTCACAGCAGATAAGTAGAAAGGCACATAATACAGTGCTCTGAACTTTCAAAGCCAGCTTCCTACTTTTTTTTTCCTGGATAACTGATGTAATTTTGTAGTTCACTGTTGTCTACAGTCTAGAAGGCAATTGTAAAAGTAGCTAATGGAAATTCATACCTAACATTTAATGATCTCAATTTAACTGTCTTTTAACAAAGTACGCTATTTAGTAATGCTGGCAAAAATAATACCTGCCATTCGAAAAGGCCAGAAGGACTGTTCATACACTTTATAATGTATCATTACAAGAGTTAGTAGCTAACATGATGTAATAAAAAATTTGCAGGCCTGAATTATTCCGGCAAAGAGTCCTTGAGTTAAATGCTTCTGATGAGCGTGGAATACAAGTGATTCGGGAAAAAGTGAAGGCTTTTGCTCAGCTAACTGCATCTGGAAGCCGTTCAGAGTAAGTGCTGGATCAATGCTGGCTCTCTTTAGTGGACTTTCTTGCTTAGGACAAAGCATGTGGTGGTTTTTGTTTAACTTTATAAATCTAATGTAAATGGTGGGTCAGCATTGCCCAGAAGTTTGAAACACACACAAAGTCCTTTGGCTAAGCTTTGGCTTCGTGTAATTTCATGCTGAAAGTTTGAATACCTGGGAGGAACTTTTACTAGAGCTGTTAGAATTGGAGACTGAGGCAGACAGGGAAAATCCCAGAAGACCAAGGCTTCTGGATTTGATCATATGTCGTTGCCTTTGCAAACGTTGTCTGACTACCATAGAAAAGCTTCTTTGGGTAAATTGTGGTGGAAGTTACTTCTCTAGTACCTCTAATCTGCAGCATCTCATACAAGAAGGGTGCTAGTTTATAAGATGCTAACAAGATCCTGGTGTTAGGTGGTGAGAAGCCCTGTGCAGGTGAAGCCGTATGTGTGGAAAAAAACTGTGGAAAGTAGCAGAAGAAACTGCGAGCTAGGACTATCTGCCAGGAAATGGTCTTGTGTACTGAAATGAGTCTGTCACAGTGTTCTTTAAAGTTCTGGGAATCAGGAGGCCTGTAAAGATAAGAGCTGCATTAGTTGTTAAAAGAAGCAGCTTAAAGCAAGAGTGCGTATTTTAGAGGACTTTTGCAGTATTCAATGTCAGTCTTTCTATGGGAACTCAGTCCCCACCTTTATTACAAATATTAGATCTTTGTTTAAAAATAATAAACAAGATTGAACTTCTGAATATGTTCTATCTTATTGGGTATAAATACTTGAGTAAAATATGACTTGCTATTTGCAGTGATTTTTTTTTTAATTTAGTCTATACATTGCATGTCGCATGGATAACAGTTTTCATATTTTTCAGTGGTAAAGTCTGTCCTCCTTTTAAAATTGTAATCCTGGATGAAGCAGACTCAATGACTTCAGCAGCCCAGGCAGCCTTAAGACGCACAATGGAAAAAGAATCTAAAACAACACGTTTTTGCCTTATTTGTAATTACATCAGCAGGTATGTATGGAATTTGTTGCTTGTTTGGACTTGTTGCTTTTCCTGTTCTGTACTCCTTTCTTTTTTTCCCCCCCTTCTTCACTGCGAGCTTGATACCTAGTTTTCATAGTGTTGAGTTAATGTGGATGTAACTATGTGAACACAAGACTGAAAGCAATGTTTAGGTATCGACTTTTGTTTTTACAGTGTTGCAGTTTTAAGGTTATGCTGCCCTTTTCTGCCTTGGGTAGCTTTGTCTGTGTGAACCTGACCCATGCACTCATTTATCAAGCACTTACCTTCCTTTCTTTCAGAATAATTGAGCCTTTAACATCTCGATGCTCCAAATTCCGCTTCAAGCCTTTGTCAGATAAAATCCAACAGCAGAGGCTATTGGAGGTTTCTGAGAAGGAACATGTGAAAATCAGTAGTGAGGTAACTTCATGGTTGCCAAGGAATTTTATTGCTTAATCCAGTGCATAATTGCATTACAGTGAAAGGGGCTAAATCAGCATACTTTTCCAGACTGCTCAATTGCATTAAATACAATGTATAAACTCCCTTAGATATTATTCTCCTTCTGTAGATGGGATGAATTTGAAGAGTATTCCTAAAACCAGAGAAATGTCCACCAGAGAAAACTGAAGCAAAACTGTAGGGCTTTTTGTTCTGTGCTGAGCATGCTTGCATAAAACCATGCTTCATTCTGAAATTGCCAGCATTAATATTAGTGGAGAGGTTGCTTTGTAACTTGTGCGTTGTGCTTATCTGTGACAATCTGCTTTGGGCACTATGTGATGTTTTAAAATAAATATGCTGAGAAGGTGTACTGGATTTTAAATAACAGTGAACATATAACTTGGCATTTCCTAACATTATTTTTCAGGCAGTATCTTACCTTGTTAAAGTGTCAGAAGGGGACTTGAGAAAAGCAATTACTTTTCTTCAAAGTGCCACTCGTCTTATGGGCGGGAAAGAGATCACAGAGAAGATAGTCACTGAAATTGCTGGGGTAAGCTGTGCTTTACAGTTTCTCCTGGAAATAGTCTGAAAAGCATTTGTGTAGTAAGCGTAATTGCTACCTGTATCTACCTTTGCTCAAAGTTTGATTAAAAATTGGTTTATACCCATTAGTATTGCAATATTGTACCGATACACTATCCACCAGAATTTTATAGATTGCCTGCTTCTGTATGCCTATTACATGCTAAGTTTCTAGGAACTTATTCTGCAAGTCAAGGAAAACTGTAAAATAGTCTTATAATTCAAACTGAATTTGAAGTATGCTGCCCATGAACGCAAAATGTGTTGCCTTTTGTGGGACAGTAGACTAGAATGTCTTTTTGGTGCTTTTTTATACCTCTGTGTGTGTTTGTGCAGGTGTGTGTATGTAAGTGTAGATCACTGCAAAATACGGCTTGGAAACACCACAGGGGAATGACTTTCAGTGGCAGCTCATTTTCAGCTTAACGTTCAGAGAGACAGTGTCTCTTCAAGGATCTGCGTGGGATCTTCCTTTTTAACAAAACACAAGTGATTTCTTCTGGAATGACAGATAACACTAACAGGGACAGGAGAAGCCTGAGAGGAAATGCATTTAATAAAACTTATGTGAAGGTGTTCCTATAGCAACAAAACACCCCCTAAAGCAAGAAATGTAAGATTAGGAGTGGAGGAGCTGAAAAATAAATGGGCTTTAATGATGGACACACTTCCCTTCAAGGGGCTGCCATCATAGCTAATTGTAAGGGTTGTGAGGTTTTCAGTTTGATGGAACCAGAGGCAGTTGCTACTACGCATGTTTTACAGACCAGTTTTAAACAATTTTCGTGGTGAACTCTCTCAGTTTTGTGCATCTAGCTGTGGAAAAGAGCTGGATATCACTTACAGATGTCTGTAAATCACAGTTTCTAGGAAACCTGGCAGAAGTTGACTGTAGTGATAGGAAAGAGAAGCATGAAGTGTCATGATTGAGTAATGCTTGTTTAAGCCAAAGGAACCCAACTTTATATTTTCACAAATACTTCAAGTTGTTGGTGGTACGTAACTTTGAGACCCTGGAGTGACCTTAGTACAACAGATTAATACAGAAGCTTTAAAACCAAACTGTCCAGACACTCAACTGACAGGAATGACAATGAGTAGAGGGGAGAAAGTGGGCAGTGCTTCCCTGTTCAGAGCTAGTGGCATCTGTCAACTTTTTTCTTCTGATTGATTGTCTGATCTTGTTGCATTGGGTGCTTTGTGTATGTCCTTGGTGCGTCACTGGAGAGAAAACTGCTTTACTGTTTTGCTTAGGTGTAGAATGGTACAGAAAGCACTGGCTGATCTAATTGTTGAAGTAGGTCCTTCATTTAGTCAGTGTCCTGAGTAAGTGATTGTGTGTTGGATTTGTGAAGGTAACTGATGATTCACTTGCATCCTATAGTTTTTATTTTAGTATTACCAATATAGGACAAATATTACAGCCTAGCTCTCACTCTTAAAGTTTAGCTAGTCTGTCTTACGTGCTTGCTTGAAAGTGATTGGGTGTGTAGAGGAATGAAATGCTAAAATGGCCTCCTTCATAAACAGTTTCTATCTGTTACTGTAAGCATCAACTTCAGTTTTAAGTTTACAAAGTTGAAATGAAGAAACGTAACTTCTTGTTACAGGTCATCCCTAAAGAAACAACTGAGGAACTGCTATCTGTCTGCCAGAGTGGTTCATTTGAGAAGCTGGAAACACTGGCAAAGGTAGGGTCGGTCCCCTTAGTGCTTTAGCCTGATGTTTTTGTGGGCCGCTGCCCTGTGAATCCTTTCTTGCTGGGCTGCAGCTGAAGAACGTTTGGCCTCGGGTCAGTCAGGATGCACATGTTGGGAAGCCTGTCTTTTACCAGTTAGTCTTCTGATCTGTCCTGAGTGTGACTCTGGCTTTCTCCCGAGTTAAACCGATGACACGTGGAGCTGTTAGGCTGAATCAGGCAGAGCAGGAATTCCTAGCGAGGCACTTAGCTCAGGCCTTAGAAGTGTGTCTTCAGCGGGCTGGACTAGTCTCTGGAATAGTCACCTTCTTGGTTACACGGCGGCTGTGTTAGATGAGAATTATCTGAATAAGGCTGTAATAAGTCTTCAGTTTGAAAATATTTTTTGTTAATCTTACAGTACACTAGTGAGTAAGTTTGTCTTACAAACTGCCGTGACTTAAAATAGATCTCACTGGAGAAGGCACAAGCTACTGCTTTATAGAGGTGGATTTATTTTCTGTAATGCAGAAAAGGTTCTTACTTTCTTTGATGAATGGGAAATTCCTAATCTCATGAGTTTAGAGGAGGCTCAGACAGTCTTGAACTGGGTTTTAAATCGAGGAGTTGTGCCTGACAGAGGGGAGCATGCCATAGCACCGTTCTCCCTTCCAGGGAAATTCTCCATGCCTGTATGAAAAAAGCCAGTATTGGTCAGCCTTCCGCTTTTTACTTGGCTGAGCCTCATCGGATCGTTTTGGCAGGACCTCTGGTTTAGAGTCTGGATTTATTCTCACATAAACTTGCAGCAAGTCTTAGAATTGTTGTGCCAGGATTGTGTAGGTGTCACTGCCTTACACTTTCACATTTACTTAACAAGATGTCTAATATGTGTTGATCTTAAGAGGTGATGATATGGATTTTCTAAATCCTTAGAGCTGGTAGAGTCTTTCATCAGACCATGATCTCATCTAATGCAGTAGTTTGGAACTGTTGTCCAGTTTCTGGAGTAGGTGGGGGTTTGTTTCCAATGCTAGTGCTCGATATGCAGTTGACATGATTTGAATGCATACTTCTGTAAAGCACGGGGATGTGTTTTGCTGTACAGAAAAATAAGGTTGCACCAACTCTTCTATTTTGATAAACTTCTCTCTGCCTAAATGACTCCATGGAATGCTGTTCTCAATATTTGCTGGTTTGGTAACTGGGCACTACTTGATTTTTTTAAAAAAAGTTATCTTGAGTTGCCATGGTTTTTATTGTATTAAAAAAGTTTTGGCCTTACAGATCTTTCCATGCCTGAGGCTAGCAACTACCAGATGAAGAAAATAAATCAAAGTAGGTGGCACTTTAAAATCTGAAGGCTGTGAAAGTGCCACATGATGCTGTGGACACTAAGCTTTCCTAATTTTAGAATAAGATCGGACAGGTTCAGTGGAGGTTGTGAAATGATTAAAGTGTCTCTAGCTGGCACAGTCCCCAAGATGTAAATTCTCAGAAGCTGGAAGAATATTTGAGCAAAACTATTGCTGTGTGCCTGCCGTGCTCTTGCAGTCTTTCCTAGGTGCTCACTTCAATCACGGTCAGGCAAGATGCTCGACTACACACAAATGACTCACTCAGCTTCTCAAATTTTGACGTTCTATAATAAATTTCAGTAGTCTTTCAGTTCAGACAGAATTTTTCAGATTGGTTTTCTGGTTTGTGGTGTTTCTGCTGCTGAATTATTTCCATTTTCCTCCATCCCTGACACAGAATCTCATAAATGAAGGGTATGCTGTTGCTCAGCTGGTAAACCAGCTGCATGATACTGTTGTTGAGAGCGAAGATTACAGTGACAAGCAGAAATCTGTCATAGTCGAGAAACTTGCGGTAAGTTGGTAACTTGAGTTAAAATCTCCGTTGATTAATTTTTTGTTTTACTCTCTCTATCCCAGTAAGTATACATATTTGTGGTTCTGAATGTTTCTTGGTAGAACCTATGTTTTTGCCCTGAGAAGTTTCATGAGAAGCCATATTATATTGTTCTAGTGGAGCTCAAGCAAGAGGGTTGTGAGTTTGCTTGTTTTGTTTTTTAATGTAAATTGAGAGGGAAAATTAACACCAAATTTTAAAGTCAGTGCTTAAATTGGGAACTGCAAGATGCAAGCTTTTGTTCTGGTGTGTAAAATATGCCTTTTCAAAAAAAGAGTTAATGAACTTGGTAAATTTTGACAAAGAAGACAAGATGGCTGTGGTGGAAGTTTTGCTGAGCTCCCTGGAGAAGGCAGATAGTGTTGGTGACCTGCAGAGTGATGCTCCTAGCAGTTGGTTGCCATGCAAATGGTGCATCCCCTCCTGCATATACACTGTTGTGTCTTGGCCTCCTCAACAAGATGGCAGCCAACGAGGTAATTCTTCCCAGCTTGGTGCGATGGGGGTGATGCATGGCCGCTGGAGGAGTTGTTGCCAGACTTTGTCTTGGTGTTCCCTGCTCTAAGCCAAGAGATGGCCGACTTCACCACCACCATTTTGAGAGGGTTTTACCTTCTCTTCTCCGTTTGCAGGAAGTAGACAAATGCCTGGCAGATGGCGCTGACGAGTACTTGCAGCTGGTGAGTCTCTGCGCCCTTGTGATGCAGCAGCTAACGCAGAACACTTAACTCCAGCAGCGGCTGGCAGCAGACTAGAGCAGAGCAGCTTTTTGTCTCGTGGATGGCTGAGGTTCTCGGAGCAGGGACCTGTGTACTTTTTCTACTGGTCTGGGTTTGTTGGGTTTTTTTTCAATAAAAGGACTGCTCGGCAGTTGGAAAAGCTCATGGTGGAATATTTGATTCTATTTTTTCCACTAGCTTAAAGACATCTGGCTGCTGAGGGACCAGTAATGCTCCTGCTTTGCCATGATTTGTGGTAGGCTTACACATGGGGAAGCAAACGTATCAAAAACACGTACTGTGCTTGGTCATCATCATGTGAAGGCTGAGAAAGGAAGGATGAGTTGTTCCTTTCAGATGATGACGATTTGTTTTGAAAGTCTGAATTTGGCAAGACTATCTCCTTACTGGACACAGGACTTTGGGGTGAACCCTGCTCCTGAGCTTTTAAAGCTGTTACCAGTATAAAGAACACAGTGTTTAGTGGTGGCTGAGCATCTCTGCGGTAGTCTGGGACCCACTCCTTTCCTAGACCCTCCCCTGACCACCTTGTGGAGTCTGTTTACTTGGGAGCAGAGTTCCTTGTGCTGCCCCACCTTCCCAAGCACAGGGAAAAGGCCTTGGGCTGGCATGGGGCTTTCTAATCAAGTCAGTACTGATGACTAAGTGAGCCATTTCCTACTCTGATGAAAGGGTGTTCAATCTTAAAATCACATGTCCATCACCCACAAGCTGTTTCACATGGGGACAGCCTCTGGCACATCAAGCTTGGTATTTACTAGTCCAAGGTACTACTCCAAAAAGAGCCCCTGCAGCTACTGACAAAAGCTGAGAACAGCATAGAAGCCCAGCAACTGCTGGAGGGCAGGAGGCCTGGACACCAAGCACCTTCCAGACTTCACTTGAACTCCCAACCTGCAACAGGTCAGAGCTGCTCTCAGCCTCCCCTCTGACCAAGAAGCAACTATTTACAATTTAAGTGAATATAGAAGTATTTTATTGAACATTCAAACTTCATTAAGACATGTGCAATATGGCAAATTTTACTGGGTTTAACCCTAAGACAATAGTATGATTGCTTGCTTGCTGGGGTATAGCAACAGGGTCCAGATCACACTTACCACTAATTAAATACTTTATTGAATAAATACATATGAAACAAAAATGCATTTTAATGCTCTTATAAAAGTTTAGAGATTTTGAAAGGCCGTTCCAATTCAGTCTGAAGTGTAAGTACATACAATAAAGGAAGGTAGGCTAGTTTAACATAATTGGCCGACTTTATACAGCACTTATATCTTTTAGTCCATAAGTAAATTATTAAATGATAAAGAACATCTAATACAACCACTTCTATGGAACTAGGAAATAAATTTCTAATAAAGAAAAAATTTACAGACCCCATGACTTTCCACCCAACCCCAACAGTCTAACCCTAAAGTGGATAAAGCCAGCAGCTTTCCCCACAAGAGCTCACGACAAAAGTCGCTTTGCTTTTCAAAAATCTGTATTTCTGATCCGTTATGAGCATTGAGACAAGATTCAATAAATCCCCAAAGAAAGAAGCACAATGCACGTTGTGAATCGCCTATTCAGCAACAGCGACCACTGCATTCAAAACCACCTCATCCCAGGGATTAAATGAGATCAGCCACATTCATCGGCATCTCCTCCACTGTGGTATTGTAGAAAGTCTCAATGTCTCGCAGGATCCTCTTGTCCTCTTCAGTGACAAAATTTATAGCCACGCCTTTTCTGCCAAACCGACCACCCCGGCCAATTCTGCACAAAAAGAAAGCACGTTTACACACAAGTTAACTAATAACCCGTTTCAAACCTTTGAAAGGTCCACTCATGAACCGCTGCTCTTTTATCTGCCACTGGCCCAGCTACACTGTGTGTGCAAGGACCACCTGCTACCAAAGTCACACCTCATCAGGAAAGACTAGCACTTTGTGCCAGCACTACACAAGTGATGTCCATCCTAGGGTGAGCAGCAGAGCAGAAGATTAACTAAAATCTTATTTAATGGTTGGTCCCCCCGCTGCTGTCAAACCCACCCATACCACATGCATCCACTCCCAAGCAGAAGAGATAAGCTGTTCTTCAAAAACCAGACTGCTCCCAAGTGAACCCAGTTACACCCAGTAACATGGAACAGCACACTTGAGAAATTTAATTCAGTGGAACTGTTTCCAGTGGGAAAACTTGGCATTTTTTTTTTTTAAACAGAAAAATCCAAGCTCAACATTTTTGCATAAACCCAAGTCAGTCACTAACACATCACAGTACAATTCAGTGACACCATCAGTTCTAGCCTCCTACAGAGTGCAGTGAAGGACCTCATCAGCAAGAGCTAAATACGTAGCAGTGGCTCACAAAAAACTTAGGCAATCATGACAAAATACGTAAGTACCAATTTGCTCTTTATTCAAACTGTGCTGCTTATGAATCCACATCTTAAATTACATCAATGCCATTTCTGAGCTCCATCTTGTGTCATCAACTGCTGCTATCAACTCCTGTGGTTTTTTTACATCAAGTAACAAAGCAGTTTTACTTAATTTAGGGACATGACTAGGAGCAGTTAACTAAGCCTGAGGAAACAAAACTCACCTTGCTGCCAGAGTCACACACCACAGAGGAAAATCCCACTGTAAGGAGCCACCAAGGGCAAACAAGGCACACAGAGCATGACAGTTGGCCCTCCAGGTGTGAAGGCAGCCCTGTACAACTGGTTTGCTAAGAGTATTAAGGTCTAGTCACTGAGCAGCTGCAGCAACTGAAGATTAGCTGGGGCCTACAGATCAAGCTAACCCTGCCATGCAGACACCATGCCAGCGATCGCTTTGTAATCATACCCCTAACCTGCATGACAAAAGGCGATTCAGTAGCTGGCAGTTTCCCCGGATCTCGGCAGCGAGCAACTGATCGGCCATCTCTGAACTCATCACACTGCTAAGTTTTCCCACTGCTTCATTTCATTGTCCAAAAGTTCTGCTCCTCCCTCATTTCAGAGTCACAGCTGTGCAAGTCAGGGATTTTTAGAAGCAAAACCACATGCAGGCTTTTTTCCTGCTAGCTTTCCAGCAGTTACTATACGAATGGATGCACAGCACCTCTTGTTACTGGCAAGGCCTAAAGGGAACAACAGGTGAGGTTCTGTGCTCAGTTCTGCAGCAGACATTGCCACCCCACGCAGCACTGAACCAACTAACCTGTGAATGTAGTTTTCACGATTGGTCGGCAGGTCATAATTTATAACCAGTGACACTTGCTGCACATCAATGCCACGAGCCTGGAAAGCAATACAGAGCATTTAATGCACATCAGAGGCTTCACATTATAAGTTTTGTATTTACCCCATGCTTTTGTCGACCACAAGGTTAGTGATGAACTACAACTGTGTAGTCCATAGTGGAGCGTAGTCTTTACTCTTCCAAGAAGCTCCGAACAGTGCAGGCTACGAGAACCTTCACTGAATCATGAAGCTTTGGGCACCAGACTTCGCAGAAACGTGCTCAGTGTAAGACAATACTCACCAGCAAGTCAGTGGTGATCAGGACACGGCTTGATCCTGACCTGAACTCCCTCATGATAACATCCCGTTCCTTCTGGTCCATGTCACCATGCTGTGGAGTTAACAAGTCACAGTTACCACAGTTCCAATACTCCAGACAGGACTACCCTTTAACACAGTGTGATGTATGAAACCTAGCGTCCCTACCTGCCGTGGGAACAAAGCAGGTAGGGATAGGAGGAAGCATTTTTCTTTAAGCAGGGGGAACGATAATACAGCACTGCACAGCTATATTATAACTTTCCTGCTTTTCACTCAGATGGAGCTTGCTACGATTTGTTTTTCAGAATGGCATTTCAGAAGTTCTCTGGAAGTACCAATTCTTACCAGAGCCGAGACAGTGAAGTCCCTGGCATGCATTTTCTCTGTAAGCCAGTCTACTTTTCTCCTTGTATTCAGGAAAATAACAGCCTGTGTAATGGTCAGTGTCTCATACAGATCGCAGAGAGTATCCAGCTTCCACTCCTGAACAGAACAAAGGACATCAAGAAATTGCAAAACAAAGAATAAAATTCAAAAGCAACAACAATTAATTAAGCATGCTCTCATGTGAAATTATATCCAAGATGACCAAGTTGGAACAAGACATCAGCAAATTTTCTGCATCAACTGTTGCACCAAATCTTAAGACACAGGACACCGGACATTAAGAAAGAGGTCCACCCTCGTCATTTTTGATCTAGTGCATGCTTTTTCTTCTTCTTGTATGTACTCTGCTAGCATTATTACAGAAACCAAAGCTCAGCCTTGGTTTCTGTAATTTTAGCACAGTGCTTTAACAAGAAGGTAAGAGAACTTAAACTTAACTCTTCCAGCCAAGGCAAGTACAACTGACACCAACCTCTCTTTCAACATTAATGTAGAATTGCTTGATACCCTCCAGAGTCAGTTCTTCCTTCTTCACCAAAATACGTATGGGATCTCTCATGAACTTTTTGGTCACTTCCAGCACATCCATTGGCATTGTAGCCGACAGCAACACAACCTAGAATATATTACTCGGTGTTAGCATGTGCCTAGGACACCAGCTCTGATTTAGACAATTCAGCAGTTCTCAGATGCACTGGAACCAAATCCACACCCATCAATTTAACCACTTAGAAGTTTTTTTTACCTGGATGTTTGTGCTTAATTTTTGAAAGATCTCATAAATTTGATCCTTAAATCCACGGCTCAACATTTCATCAGCTTCATCCAGAACAAACATTTTGATCCATTTAGGTGCTATTAAACAAAGAAAAGAGCATCTCATGAAGTTTCAGAAACGCACTAATTTTATTAACATCACTCTCCTTCAGGACTAAGCTTTCCCCTGCAACCCTCTACAATGACAGCAACTGCGTTACTTAAGCTCTTACTGGTTTTGACGTGTACGTTGGAAATATATTATCAAGAGAAAAATTCAATTCATACTTACAAAGGTAGCGTCTGTTTAACATATCAAA